CACACCATAGAATTGTTAGATGAAGTAAGTTACTGTGTTTAAAAGTTGGACTAGGGCATAGCACACAGCAGACACCGGGCACAGGGAAGCCTCTGGCAGGATGGATGGGAAGTTCCTACTTCCATGTTTTCCCAGGTCAGCCTGAAGCCCTGGAAACCATCCCACAGCTCCTGTGGTCCACTTGGCCTCATCATGGTCCTTTGAGGCTTCAACAGAACCTCCTATCTTCCTGCCACAATGCTACTCACACTTCCTACTCCTCCCTACCTCCCTGGAGAGTGAAGCCTTCTGTAGATCCCTCCTGTAGAACATACACAAACTCCTACATAGTTCTGAACCTGCCTCCAACAGTCAGGATCAATGGAGTGTTGCCTCCACCTGGGGATAGAGAGTAGGCTCTATCCTGTGATACAGTCAAGAAATAAGGCCATGAAAGAGTCCCTGTGCAAACCTTACATACCTGACCCAGAATTCTGAGATATGAGTCTTAAAAAAAATAGGGGGAGCTGGAGAGATGGCTCAGAGGTTAAGAGAACCAGCTGTTCTTCCGGAGGACCTGGGTTCAATTCCTAGCAACTATATGGCAGCTCATACATATCTCTGGAATTCAACATCCTCCTACAGACCTACATGCAAGCAAAACATCAATGCACATAAAACAAAAAATAAATCATTTAAAAAATTAATTTCCCAGGCATGGTGACACATCCCTTTAAACCAGGACATCCAGGAGGCAGAGGCAGGAAGACCTTTGTGAGTTTGAGGCCAATCCACACTACATAGGAAGATTCACGTCAGCAAGAGCTACCCTGAGATCTTGTCTGTTTGGATGCCATGTACATGCAGGTGCCCAAGAGAGCAGAAGAAGGCATCTGATCCCCCGGAACTGAAGTTGCAAGCACTGGTGAGCTGCCTGACATGTGGGAACTGACAGGGGTCCTCTGCAGAGCAAGTACCCTTAACTACCACTGAACCATCTCTCCAGGATGTGTTTCTTGAGTGAGCACACGGATGCTAGCCAACACAGGTATCTCGAGTTCTGAGACCAGAGTACACTCGGCCTGCTTCAGATTGCAGACACTCTGCATCACACCCAAGCCCAGGCCCAGAAGTCATGATGCGTGGCTTGAAAGCTGGGAGAGTGACCTGACTGACGCCACAGGACAGCTATGTAGGGTCTCGGGCTGGGCATGCTCTCTGCACTTCACTATTCCTATCTATAAATGGGGCAGGAGATGGGGATTCTTTTTTTCTTAAGCAACAGAATCTCTTTTGGTTTGCTTTTTCCTTTAAAATCATATCAAAAATTAACGTGTGTGTGTGTGTGTGTGTGTGTGTGTGTGTGTGTGTGTGACTGGGGATCCAACTCAGGACTTCACATGCTAGGCAAGTGCACTATCACTGAACTATACCCAAATCAACAGCTGTAAAGCGACATCTGGTACATTCATAATGCTGCACAACTGTAGTTGCTACCTAGTTCCAAACCGTTTTTATCACCCCAAAAGGAACCCTGCATTCATCCAGCCCTGACTTTCTCCCCACGCCCCTTCCTCCCAGACCCTCATGACTGTAATCTGCCTACACTCCACAGGTCTGAGTAGGTATCTAGTCTGAATATTCGCTATAAGCTCCTTTTCTCAACATGACTCCTGGACAGAGCCTTTTTGTGCACACAGGTGACAAGAAGGCAGGGAGGGTTTGCCCTTCCCCTCTGAGAAGCTCACAGCTCTCATGCCCATTGGCCTTCCAGAGAAGGCACCTTACTTTTCAGTATCTATATTCAAAGTTAGCCCGCTGTGTGAGAAGCGGAAGCTGCTGCCCGACACAGCCAGCCCACTGGACGACACAGCAGTGGAGGCTGGGCTTGAATGAAGCCCAAACCAGAGGTCTCCTCGGGGGATTGGCTCTCCACAGCCTACTGGCCTCTACTCTCCTCATAAGCCTAGTGGGCTTCAGGTATGAGGAACTGGGCAAATTTCCTCAAAAGCCTTTGAGGAGAGACAGCCATTCTGGAAACCCAGGTTTCCTGTCCCTTAGAGAGAGCCAATCTAACAGACTCAAATGGCCCAGGAAGACTCCCACAGTACATGTGGCCTCCCTCAGGCCCAGTGGACTTCAATGTGGCCGAGAGTCATCAGTGAGGACTCTGGTCCCACTGGGGTCTGTGAAGGCCACTCCTATCAACCCAGATCTCTGCTTGGCCACACTATAGAAATAATTAGCAAAATATCTGCCTCACTTCCTAACAACCATAGCTGACACAGCTCACAGGCCTTCCAGCTTCATGCCCAAACCGAGGGGGCTCACTATCTTGCCCTGTGGTGAGTGAGTAGGAAGAAAACAAACACAGATTTCCAGACCTTGTCTTGTGATGCCACAGGGCTACTCCAGCACTCAAATCCATCCTCTTTCCAAACCACTGCTGTCTACTATGTCTGGCAAATTCTTTGTTTTTAAATGTTATCTGTCTGGGTGTTTTGTCTGCATGTATGTCTGTGCACCACATCCGTGTCTGGTGCCTGTGGCGGCCAGAAGAGGGCAACATCAGATGCCTGGGAACTGGAGTTGTGGGTGGTTATAAGTTGCCATTGGGAATGGAACCCAAGACCTTTAGAAAAGCAGCCAATGCTGTTAACCACTGACCCCTCCTCTCTCCACCCACAAGACTCACATTCTTAATTTGACTATGAGTATCTTGTCCTTTCAGGGCCTCAGTTTCCATTCTGTAAAATGGACAACTGGGCGTTTCCAATCCCCAAAGTTCACCCTAAGTAGCCTCCTGTGGTCATCTGCACCCCATGCTCTGGTGATCTGTTCTCCTTGGCACTGCGAGACACTGAACATCAGAACAGGTCACTGGAAAGTAACCATGTGCCTTTGCAGATAGATTCCGTCCCAGAAATCCCCAGCTTAAAGGGCCGAAGGACAGATGTTAATAAATGAGTCCTGAGCAAATGCCACCTGTCTGCCACCTGCACTGAGAGCCTGTGTAGGGCAGCACCCCAGGAGCCTCTCTAGTGGATGACAGGGTGACAAAGGAGGATTCCCCATAAAAGAACCTTTCTCCAGGGCCACCCTGATTTTGAAGTGTGAGGGTTAAACAATTTGGGAAAAAGGCAGGCGCCTAAAGGCTTCCCACAGCAACTACCCGCCCCTTCCCTGTCGGCATTCCTTCACACTCGCTGGAATTCCTACACAAAGCCCCCTTTTTCTTTTCTATGAGGTCACCAGCACATAGAAGTCTAAGAAAAGAACAGCTCCCTGTGGGTAAAGCCTTTGGAACTAAATGAACCCAGTGGTCCTGCAATCTGACGGCCCCCTCAGGGCACCGCTCCAGGGGTGGTGAACAAGGGTTTTAGGGGGTGTTGTGATTCTAGCCAGCACAGTTCAAGAAGCTTGTCTAGGAGACCAGTTCCTCAGCTGGCAGACCACGTGAGAAGTCGCCTGGGGGGGTTAAAATCCAGAACTGGAGCCCCCTGCATATGCAGGTCTGTATTCACATAGCAAGTCCTGTTGGAGTGACAGATGTCAAAATGTGAAATCACACGCTCAAGTTCAAGTTCCCAGGATTAATGGCACAGGAAATTACACCACTAATGGATGTGCCCCAATGCTACTTCTGTCTGGACCTTGGGTCTGAGAAGGCCACAGGTTTGGCCTGAAGATGGATTATGTGTGTGTCACCAAATTCAGACAGGAATGGGGAAAGTTTCCAAAAAAGAGAAAGAGAGAAAGAAAGGAGAGAGAGAGAGAGAGAGAGAGAGAGAGAGAGAGAGAGAGAGAGAGAAGAGAAGAGAAGAGATAGGGGACAGATGATCTTACCTGGGTGACAGAACTAAGAATATCCACTCAAAAACTTCAAAACCCTTTACAGAAACCCAGACCACAACGACCCCTCTACAATCTTCCTGCTCCAAGAGCCCCAGTTCTAAGAACTAACAAACTTCCAAGTACATGCACTTTGCTGCCTATGATACATCAGCAAAAATTAAATTAGATAAATAAAAACATAGAAACAAGGCCTATTTTTACCTCCGCAAATCACAGGCCAGATGGAGCGGAATCTATCAATGCCAGAACCGTGGCTGAGCCTTCCCATACCATCTATTATTTCACACCTTACACTTAGGCACTGCATCACAAAGCACTTTGCAAATGACACTCTTGGAAGGGAGAGAGCGACCTTTTCCTGTTAGTGCTAAAGGACACCGAGCTGGGCAGGCACAGCCCAAACGGCACAGGTCCTTACTTATACACAGCCCTCTTCTGAAACACCAAAAACGGAAGTGAATGAGGAAGTGAACTGGCAGGCCCAGTTCTGAATGACAGGTGACAAGGAGTCTTTGCAAAAATGATCGTGTCAGAGATCCAGAGTGAAGAGTAAGGCTCTGAGATCACACGCCATCTCCCTACATGGTCAGAGGCTGGACGCTTCCTGGGGCTAAGTCCAGCTTTGTCGCCAACATGTATCTATGTGTTTATTTAATCAATTTATTTATTTAAACGGGGTCTTGGTGTATAATCCTGGGACACCTGGTACTTGCTATGTAAGTCCAGGCTGGTTCAGAACTCCAAGCAATCCTCCTGCCTCAGCCACGATTATGGGCGTGAGCCACCACACCTGGTTGGTAACTCATATCTAATCTTGAGTGATTCACCAAGTCCTCCACCCTCACCTCCCTCTTTGGTCCAATCTGAGAAGAGGAGAGAAACATTAGTCTTAGTCTCCTTTTGACAACGGTTTCTTTGGCCATCCTTGGCACTTGGAAAGACTGTGGTACCTTCAGTCTGGTGGCTCAGTGGCCTTTGGGAGGACCACTCCCCAAATTCTGGAACCAGACAGGCCTGCAAAACCTGGCCTGTCATAAATCACTGAGCTTTACAACATGCCAGAAGAGCAAAACACAATAAAGGTAGCCGGTGTCCTTCAAGTTAAGAAAGACTGTCCAAGAATCAGATACGAATTTAAATCCTGACTTTGCCATTTATCAACTTACCTGAACTTTACAAGTTCCCAGGAAGACTACAGACTCTGTCCAGACAAGTCCGGTTCAAATTCTGGGTCTACTGCTACTCTATAGCTTCTCTGTGCCCCAGTTTCTTCATCTGTAGAATGGACACCATAACAGTTCTTACAGTGTTGGTGGGAAAAAAGAAAAAGCAAACTTTGTGCACCAAGCCCAGCACAGGGCATATCCTCAATAATGGGGAACACGGGTCATGGTGCTTCTCGCCCAAAACTACGCCAGGCAGTTCATCGATCCGCTTGTCTGTTTTCTCATATATTAGAGACTAACCTCTGACTTACAGTGAGCCTAATGAGAACATGAGTGTTCAAGTCCACAGTGCCCAGGCTGTACACCTTAGGAAGTCAAATGTCAAGTCCTGGGCCCAGTGAAGGAGGAAGGCCTAGAAGGCAGGCAGGTGGCTCAGACTTTGGCCACCACCCTCTCCCTCATGGCCTGGGCCACATTTGATCTCTCTCTGATTCAGGTGCCTTGGGCACAAACCCAAAAACAGAGTGGAATACGTGGAGAGTTAAAGACCCCCAGAACCATCCTCAGCACACAGTAGGTACTCTGTAAATGACTCAACCCCTTTCCCTCCACCTTTCCCACACCATGTGCCACTTGGGAAGGCCAGCATCTCCATTTCTGGAAACCCAAACAGCTCTAAATCCTGGCCAACGCTTAAGTCCGAGACTTGGGCTTTTTAAAGACAGCAAAAGACTTTTGTAGTCATCTCTGAAGCAGACGAGGCTCGGAGACTCACAACCACAGGGACCATTTTAAATCCCGGGCCTTTTCTTCTGGGAAGTTAGGCAAGAACCTTCCCAAATGTTTGCCGTGGGGCCCTCTGCCAGGGAGTGACTCACTCCTCCGCTCCCCACAGGCATATTTTATTTGGGGGTGGGGGATCCAGGGAGAGCCTGGCCCTGATGGGGGAGGGGAAGTTTCAACACATCCAGAAGGTGGGGATATTTTTTCTTCTCCAGTTTTCAGGACAAAGAGGAAAAAAAGAACATGGGTCTTTTTTTGTTTCCTTCCAGGTTTTGTCTGCTGAAAGACGATGTCTAAAGTTCACTGGTTAAGTTCCTCCTGTTGGGAGTCAGGCACCCATTCAATGAAATTCTTCTCCCATTAGCAACAGGGTTAACATGCCCTTTTACACACACCAGACTCCTGGGAGGACATTTTCCCCTCAAAAAGTCAACCTGCATTTTGCAAGTGAAGTAAAACTCTGAACAGAAACTTTCTAAAGTTTGCTTTAAAACAGTTAAAACTTTCAAACACACATGCACAAACTGTCAATCAAAACTTCACGGACAGCCCTTAGAGGATGTGTCCCAAGTGTGCTGTCACCCATTTGTTACTGCCTCTGGGGCTCGGATAAATCAGGGAAATATGATTAACTTAGAGGAGCAGGCAGAGAGGACAAGTATCTGGGGCCCTGGGTCTCCCTAGGGCCTAACCCCTAGGTATGGGGGGCAGAGTCCAAATCTGGCCTAGCTAGAGACAGCCACGAACAAAGCCAGGGAACTAAGACGTATCTAGAAAACCTCAATTCAAGTCCAGCGCAGCCCCCTCCTCAGCCTGCGTGGCCATGCAGAGTCCTGCCAAGGCCGGGCTCAGCGGCTTCCACCAGAGTCATAACCTGGTGATCTGCGGACTCACAGAATCCGGCCCAGCACTCTCTCGGGACAGGGTCAGCCGGCACATCACACACACACTGGCCTGCAGTGTGGAATGCTCAGCCTGGATCCTAAACACACACTCGTGTGGAATTTGTACACTTTTGCCCGTGCACGTGTGCATACACACACTCGGGAACGTTCAGACACGTGGGCACACGTACTTCTTGGCATCCACGGTAAACACTCGATAAACGGATAAACCGAAGCCGAGCCTGTCCACCCGCACTGGTCCACCCCAAACTCACAGCCGGGGCCCCTGATGTGCACACGCACGCACTCCCGCGCAGCGGGGCGGATGGAGCCCGCCGCGGACACCTCGGCCTCCTGCGGGCGTCCCCGCCGACTCCCTGGGCACGCGCGCGCGCCCACAACGCCTCGGGTGACGGCCCCACGCCCTGGCCCGCGCCCCTCGCCGGTCCCAGGCCACTCACCGGCGCCGGCGGCTCTCTCGGCGGCGGGCGGAGCGCGGGTCGCACGGGAGTTGGCGGCGCTACGGCCGCAGCTAGTCCGCCGGGTTCAGCCGCCGCTTCTGCGCGCGCCCGCGCGCCCGCCCCTCCCCGCCGCGGGGCCGCGCCGCCCCC